GTGATTGATCTAACTGTAAAGAAATGTTTTTTCCTTCTTTCTTGGCTCTCCTCAAGGTATTTCCACCTATCTGTATTCCCCCTTCCTTTACAGAAAAGCCAGCTCTAAACTAGAGTTCAGTCAGGCTGAGAGAAAACAGCAGTGGCTCACTCCAATTTAGGCTGCTGTTCCGCTTTTTTTCCCCAGTGTTCCCCTTCTTTCCAGAGGGTTTTCTCACGCAAGGACACATACGTGGCTTTCTAAGGCCACAGCTGAAGTGGGTGGAATTTGTTCCTGTGTCCACAGATGCTTAGAGGGATCCCGGGAGTATTCCTCCTAGGGAGAAGGCAGCAGGCTTTCTCTCCCTCAGGTCTTCTACCTTCAAGATTTTCAGTAAGTCTTTAAGGCTTGCTTCAGTTACACCCCAAATTGGGCAAAGCGCTTTAATCAAGACCCTTGCCAGGACTACAGGAATGTGAGTCAGCCTCGCTCCGTGCTGCCTCCCGAGAGCTGCCAAGGCTGTAAGGGCTCACGGGCGGTCGTGTGCTGTCTCCACCAGCTCGAGGCCCTGCAGCCTGTGCCAGCGGAAAACACTTTGAGTGAGAAAATCTGTTGTTTCACTGAGTAAAACTCTGATCAAACATTTCTCACTAATCCACTAACTGAGATACTAGCAGTTATAGACTACATAATCTGCAGCGTTAGAAAGGGGATAGAAGGAGAAAACCGTCAGCGTCGGAACTGCCACCCGCACACACAGCCCACGCCGCTACGGCTTCCCCGCATTGTGCTCACCCATCCGCTGTCCCGGCGAGGGCCTCGCTGATGCTATAGCCTCGTTGTCCACCTTGCCAGAATGATTGGGGGGGTTCTTCTTCCTCCTTCTCTAGGGTCCTCCTGGGGCTGTTTCCATGCCTTCTCTAAGGCTCTCCTCGCCTTGCTCCTTTGTGGCTGCTTCCCGGTGTCCTGTGCCCCGTGCTGGCTGTCTTTGCAGAGCTTTATGTGCCCCGGAGACTTGTTCCTTACTGGTTGTGCTGCCCCTCGGCAAGGCGGTTCCCAGCCCCCAAGGTCGCATTCCTCTTGTTGTTTATAGCTCTGGGGCTGCTGGTATCACCCCGTGCCTGTGGATTCAAGGCCTCTGCTATCATTCCCGGCCTGTACCCCCCCACACTGCATTTTTACCCATGGGTTCACAGTGCTGGGAGGAAGGGTGCGCTGCTGCCTGCTCCATGCTGCCGGAATGCAGCCTGGGGGGGCCCAAGGGAAGCCTTTCAGCCCTCCATGTCCAAAGCAGTGCCAGCCCCCAACGCAGAGAGGTGAGGACCACCAAGTTGTTGCACACCAAGGACCACCAAGTTGTGGCAATTTCTGTTGAAGCCACATAACCCCATGCTAAGCTCCTGGCAAGCCGAGGCCAGGTGATGCAAGGCTGGCTTCTGAGGCCTGGTGGAATTATTACAAATCCTGTGGCCGGGTATGGGTAATGGCAAGGCTAAACCGCGTGAGCCCGTGTTGTCCCACCAGCAACCTGGTGCTTTGCCTTTGATTTCGGCTCAGTAGCCTGCAGAAGCTGAGCAATAGCCTTTGCTTTCCTGCTGGCTTCGCTCTCCTGAGGCTTCCTGGACGGATGCGTCAGGAGGGAAACTCCTAGGGTCCTTCCTCGGGACACGCTCTGGCCTCTGCCAGAGCCATCCTGCAGAGAAACAAGTCCCCATATCCCTGCAATAAGAAGAAGTACTCAAAGTTCCCCTGGGTGCAACTGTCAAAACATACAAGTCCCTGCTTATAAACCCCATTGAGAGACATCTGAAGCTTTGTAAACTAGAAGAGGTAACAGGATTAAAGCTGAAATTTGACAAGACAGCTAATTTTTAATTATTTCCAACTCATTTCTAATTTCTACCTTGTTCTGAATATTTAAAAGCCTTTCCAAATATATTTCACAAGTTTCAATAACAAGTAACTGGATGTGGCATTATAGCAATTTATAATCACCTCTTAAAATGGAGATCTAAATTAATCTTTCTACATCTCATTAGTTTAGCTATCAGAGATCTTTTACAAGATAATTGGCTTTCAGTGCCTTTAATTTAATTTAATTTATTAATATCTTACATCTATATTTCATAGATGCTGGTTTAATTATTGAACTGATACATCTCAGAAACATAATTCTTTTATATAGCACCCAACTTCTGCTTTTAGGGCTCAAGAGCCTTTTAAAGATGTTTTAATGATAAAAAATAAGTTCTTGTTTGTGTTTGCTTTTACAGTTAATATCAATTTACCTTTGCCTTAGGTTCTCATGAGGGGAAATTAGATCTTATTTTGGAATTAGGACCTTGGAACATTCTGTTTAGCAAATCAGACTAATTTCATTCCTATAACACCACTTGCTATGCGAACTTTATGATGCTGCCAAAGGACAGATAATGGACGGCCAAGCTAATAAAATAATGTTGAATAGATAGTCAATTAATGGCTGGTAGATACATACGAAAACAAACTCGGCATGCAGCAGCATGAAGGAAACCCTGTTTCCCATGGGTTTGTGTCTCGTGACAATTCCCAGGTGCCAAGGACTCATTCCGTGTCCTCTGCTCCCCCAGGGCTGCTCCCAGTCCCCTGGGAACTGGGGCCATGAGGAAGCAACCGGCTCCTGTTTTGGTGAGGACAGACAGACCACCAGACCGTGTGATCCCAGGCGCTCCCTTCCTTAGGAAACTCACCTAAAAATATGTCCTCTCCTAGGGCCGAACAGCAACGCTGAAACATCTGACAGTAAATGTAATGATGATAACTGATGTTTTATGAATAATCCAGGGTAGTTATAATATTTCAGCTTCCCCTGTCCTCCTCAGGCTCTAACACAGTCTATAAAAGCTGCACTGCTACCCTACACTGTCTCCTTTTGCCATTACCTCCCATGTCTTCAGCAGGTCTTGTCGGTGACAAGGTGAGACTGGGGTAGGGTACAGAGACACACCTGGCTCAGGGACACAGCAGTCCCCGTTGTGCTCGGGTACTTGCTCAGAGGGTGCTGAAGGGCTGAGTCACCCCCTGTTTGGTGGCCCCGCAGAGCTGAGAACTGCCAGCCCGTGACAGCAGTGAATTTGCATCTTGCATCCAGATGCCCCTTGGGGGACACCCTGCAGGAAAGAGGTGTTTTGGGGGTGATGGAGTTTGGCCTTTTACAGGTAGCAGGAATCACATGGGTAATGCCCGAGGGGAGAAAGCCTCTGTCAGTCCCCTCCCCGAATTTCCCTTCTGACCACGTTGCCATGTGCGCCCTCCGGCTGTGACCCCCAGCAGCTTTGTGGGACTCAGAACCAGCTGCTTCCCCACCAGCATCAGGTCCTGGTGGCCCTCGGAGGGCCGCTCTGGGCCAGGGGGTGCTGCGCTCTGTGAGTGGCAGGAGTCGATTCGACACAGCCAGCTGGGGAAAAAAGCCCAAGGACCCCCTCTGGTGTCAGGAAAAACGGTTGGCAGGAGCTCCCTGCGCGCGGGTTGCTCATTGCCTCCTCCGAGCGTTTTCTGCCTTCCCCAGGGCCTCCTGGCAGGGGGGTCCCAGCCTGGCGCTGGCGCAAGGCCAGGCTGCACACCGCGGGGACCGTGGTGCTCGTGCCCCCCGAGCATGGGCAGCAAGCTCGGGGCTCCCGCACCGCGAGCCACTGCACTGCTCCTTCCCCGGAAGAAAAGGGCAGCAGAGTTCCTGCTGCTCTTTCATGGTGGGTTTTGGATAGTTTTAACGGCCTTTTGTATTTTAGCAACATTTCACCATTTAAAAATAATTTTAAGAGAATAAATG